TATCCTGCTGTTAGATCTTGGCTTGTGCGGGGCAGGAGCCTCTTGCTACACCACCAGCTTGAGTTGCTCTGCAATGGGAAAACCTGGTGCGTGTGTGGGTGATGCCCAGACCATTCAGAGTTCATTGTTTTCATTCATTAATTCACGTCGCCATCCCATTAGTATATATCTGAGTCCCTATTACATCACTGGAAAATGGGCACAGTACCATTAACATTTGCAAAAGGCTGTTTGGAGAAGTAAGATAATTTCCATAAAGCATACTGCCCAGCACATAGTAAACCCTTTTACGTCATAATTATTGTTGTCATTAAGCAAGTAATTGCAAGTACCACATAAAGAGACACACACAAAAAGTCCACGTACAGCCCTGTTTATGGGAGCAGAGGGCAAGGTGGCATCTGAAGGGTGGGTTCATTCCTGGGCGAGACGTAGATGCCACAAACTACAAACTGGAACAGAGCGGGGGGGGGGGGGGGGGGGGCTCAGGTAGACCGGAGAGGGAGCCCCGTTCTTTCAGCTTAAACTGGAAGTGCCCCCACAGCTAGGAAGTTGTTGCTGGGTGGTCGCTGTTAAATCGACACCAACCACTTCGAGATGAGCTGGGATTACAGAGAAAAGAAACAGACACAATCCATAGGAAAGGGGGTGGCACTTCCGAGGCCTGCGGATCCAGCCGGTTATGTAGAATGAAAGCCTGAGACCCAGGCCGGCCAGCCAGGTCAAACGCCCTCCGTTCTCTGTGCTCACTTCTCCATCCCTTGTCCTGAGTATCGGACAAAGTTTTTTGTCGCATTCCCACCAGCCCCACCCGTGCTCGGGACACAGAAGGGACAGTGTTGAAAAGGAAGCCACCCACCCCCCTGGGACAGAGCCGCAGAGCCGCAGAGGGGCGGCGCTGAGATGAGCAAGCCCCGGACCCTCTCTCTGTGGCTCGTTGGGGATGAGAGGAGTCGATATTGTTAGGAAACTGCCATTTCCTGTTGCAGTGTCGGTCCTCTGTGTGTTCTAAAATCCGGGTTTAAAATCCTTCCCGATCCGGACGTGAACCCCAGAAGATGTGAAGGGAAATGTTGGTAGATTTGAATTCATAAAAGGTAAAAACGTTTGTGTGACAGATGGTGCTGAAAAACAATTAAATAACAAACAACAGGCTGGAAGAAAAAAAACACTGCCATCTATGACACATATTTTAACATTCTATTGTAATAAGGAGGAATATGCATAATGGGTAAAGAGCTCCTATAAATTAGTAAGAAAAAGGGAAACCCAATGAACAAAAGGTATACACAGGTAATTTCAGAAGAAATAGAAACATGAAATGCTCATCGCCAGCAGTCATTAAGGGAATACAAGCAAAAACAAGGTGCCAGTTTGTTTGCCCATGAAACTGGCACAATTTAAAGATTTACAATATTTAATATTGGCAAAGCTAGAGGGAAATTGGCAGTTTCTCTACTGAGGGTGGGAATATAAACTGGTGTAGTCTTTTAAAGGATAGTTTGGCAGTATCTGTAACTGTTTAAAGTATGCTACCCCTTTGTTGCAACAATTTCACTTTTTAAACATTTATTATTTTTATTGATTTCAGAGAGGAAGGTAGAAGGATAGAGAGATAGAAACATCAGTGATGAGAGAGCATCATGGATCGGCTGCCTCCTGCACATCCCACACTGGGGATTGAACCTGCAACCTGGGCATGTGCCCTGACCGGGAATCGAACCCTGACCTCCTGGTTCATAGGTTGATACTCAACCACTGAGCCACACCATCTGGGCACAATAATTTCACTTTTAGGAGCCAATACTATTTACATATGTCCACCTGAAGGCAAACATACAAGGATGCCAACTGCAACAATGTTTGTGACAGTAAGAAAATATTAATAATAACTAATATTTATTGAGGGCCAGTACTCTTCTAAGCACTTTAAAACAAACATTATGAGGAAACGGAAACATACAGAGCTAGTGTTTGGTGGTGACAGGGTTTTAACCCAGACACTTTATCTCCAGAGTTTGTTCTTAACTACTATGCTCTCTAATAGAGAGTGAAGAAGTGTACGCTACATCCGTACCACTCAATATCATACAGAAGTTAAAAAGAATGAGGCAGATTTCTGTGTACAGACACAAAGGCATCTCTAAGACATATTATTAATCAAGGGGGAAAAATCAAGTTGCAAAACACTATGATATGATATATGCCATGTACGTGGGGAAAAGATATATATGTGGGTACACAAATACCTATGTATGGGGATGATAGAAGTCTTGAATGGTAAGAGAATGTATTGTATGTGTGGGGCGATGTGGGAGACTAATTTTTAAGGTATGTTCCATATATTGCTGGTTTGAACTTTTACAAGAACGCATTTGCGATTACTTTGGTCAAACAAGAACTGTTTTACTGACCAAGAATGAAATAAAATAAAATAAAAAGCATTTAACTCCTATCAAGAGGTTAGTTTGTTTTTTTTTCTTCCACGTACACAATGGTGAGGTCTTAGATTAAAAAAATCTTCTACGTGATGGCGCTTTCTAACCTATGTAACAATGTCAACGATCAGTAGAAGGTGCCCATTAGCTGTATCTTGCTGATCACTTCTTTTTTTTCTTTTCACATAAAATTTTCATGTCCAGTATTTGGGTCCATGGCTTCCTGTTAGGCCACCAGGTTCCATAAACACATATAGGCCGTCACTGAAAACATTAGTTTGGAACCTGAGGACCACATGGTGTCCCTTCTGCTTTGCATGTTATGTTGGCGTTAGGAAAAAGGATCTGTAATCGTGGATTATCTCATTATTTTGCCTCAGTGCCTAAGCAGGATGTAAGCTCACTCTCCTTTTGGTGTGGTCTGTGGAGGTATGAATGAGTCACTTGACATAAAGACCTAAAGGACGTACCTTTTTATTTTTTTTTTTAAATCCTCACCCGAGGATATTTTTCCATTGAGTTTTAGAGAGTGGAAGGGAGGGGGGAAGGGAGAGTGGAGAAGGGAGAGTGGAGAGGGGAGAGGGGAGAGGGGAGAGGAGAGAGGGGAGAGGGGAGAGGGAGAGAGAGAGAGAGAGAGAGAGAGAGAGAGAGAGAGAGAGAGAAACATGGAAACATCCATGTGAGAGAGTCACATCTATCGGTTGCCTCCCACACGCGCTCTGGCTGGGGCTGGGATTGAACCTGCAACCCAGGTGCATGCCCTTGACCGGAACTGAACCTGTGACTCTCCGGTGCATGGACTGACTGACGGTCTAACCACTGAGCAAACAGGCCAGGGCAGGGGGAAAAAAAGCTGTTTTGGATCCCGCTAGGGCCTCCTCCTGCCTAAGTCCCAGTGAGGGTGGCTTTAACACAACACAAACAGGAGGCGCCTGGAACGCAGTACTGATTAAAATGTTACTTTGACAAGGTCTGGGTTTAGAACTAAGTTGCCAAATGCGGGCTTATCTCTGGCATGCCATTGAGAATGGCTCTTAAGATTCATTACTTAGTGGGTATCAGATTGTAGCCTTTTTGGAGAGGCCCATCTAAGTTAATACAGTTTTTCAGTTATTGAAGTTTTAATGTTCTCTTGAGCGTCTTTACAGGAAAAAAACATCCCACTTCAAAACAACTGTATCCCCCTTCTGTTCTTACAGCTGCTCGTCTTACACGGTTTTAAATAGTGCCTACATTCCAGTATTGGTTGTTTTATTGAATCTTATTTCCGACACATCTTTCCGCGTGCCTGCCAGCATTTCATGAGCTTGCCATGCCTCCCGCATCCGTGCTAGGACCCTCTCTGCTCATGTGGCGGAGCTGGTTTGGATTCCTCCCCAGGGGCTGGACCCCTGGGTCCATTCTGGTTTGGACCATTCTGAATAACCCCGCTATAAACATCTTTATCCAGTCCCCCCTCCTCCCTCCTTTCCCCCTTGGATCATTTCCTTAGAAATGTACTTCCTTAAATGGGTTTACTGGGTCAAAAGGGTTCACTGAACAGTTTTATAGCTCTTGGCACATATTTTTCCGATTGCGCCCTGGGTGGACCTGGCCAGTGGCACGGGCCAGGAATGTGGAGGAGCGGCCCCTATAACCGCCCCTCTTCCGCCCCCCAAAAGTCAAGGACCTTGCGGAGGCCTTGCCGATGGAAAGCGTTTTTGTTTTTCTGCTGCCCTGCGGGCTTGTGATTAGGGGTGCAGCCCGGCCGGGAGAGGGCTGCAGGGCAGGCGCAGAGCGCTTCTCGGGCTTCCAGGACGGGTGCCCCGGGGCCGGAGGAGCGCGGCCAGGCCCGCCTGCCCTGGGACCAGCATTCCAGCCGCCGGCCCTCTCTCTTCCCGTTTCCGACTCCCACTGCACCCCTCCCAGCCCTCCCGGGGCGATCTTCCCGGCCCGGGCAGGCCCCTCGCGAGCGCCGAGCTCGGCAGCGACTAGCAGCCGCTGATTTTGGCGCGGGTGATGCAAGACCCGCATAGCTGCGCGCTGAGTCAGCCGAGCCCGGCAGGGGGTGGGGGGCGCGGACCCCACCCCCCACCTCCCCGCCCCGGGAACAGCGGCTGCGGGCCGGGCCGGGTCGGGCCGGTGGGGGTGGGCGGGCCGGCCTCTGAGCCTGCAGGACGCCCGCCCGGGCCGGGTCTGGCGGGAGCGGAGCGGTCGGCCGGTCCGAATCCGGGGCGCGTCCTCTCCTCCCCTCCGCGGAGCTCGGCGGGTCAAGGCGGGCGGTGACCCCGCACCCGGCCGTCTACCCTCGGAGAACGCAAAAAAGGGGAGGAGGCAGCGGGGAAGAAGGGAGGCTCGAAATGGAGAAACGCTCCGCGGGGCAGACCCGAGGAAACGAAAAAAAAAGGAGGAAAGGGGGAGAGAGGCGACGGCGGCAGCCCGCGGGCGGGGGCGGGGGCGAGGCGCGCGCGCACGCGCAGGGCGGGGCAGGAGGGGGCGCGCGCACGCGTAAGGCGGGGCGGGGCCAACGGCGGCGCGCTCAGGGCGGGGCGGGGCCAGCGGGCGCGCGCCGGCGGCGGCGGCGGGCCGAGGGGCTTGTGGGTAGCGGCTGCGCGCGGCCGGCGACGGGCGCCGCGCGGGAGTGTGAGGGGGCAGCGGGCTGGTGGGACCGAGGCGGCCGCGGTCATGGGCGCGGGCTGGCGGCAGCCGTAGCGGTCTGACCTGGGCTGCAGCCTCCCGGAGCCGCAGAGGGCGGGGCGCCCGGGCCCCGGGGTGGCGGCGCCGCTTCCCCGCTCGCGCTCTCGGAGCCTGAGGGAGCGAGCTCGCGGCGGACGAGCGGACCGGGCGGCGCGAATCTGACTGAGGGGCGGGGACGCCTCCGCCTGCTCCTCGCCGCTCGGGCTGGGCCGGGCCGGCCCCTAGGACAGCCCCAGGCCCCGGACCGGCGCTGAGACCCGCAGCCGGAGCTCGAGGCGGCGGTGGGCCCGGGCGGAGCCCCGCCCGGAGCCGGCGGTTCAGGGGCGGCGCTAGGCCCTGAGGCGGCCCGGCCGGAGCGCGGGGAGCGGGAGTGCGGGCCCGGCGGCGGCATGAGCCGGCCCCCGCCGACGGGGAAAATGCCCGGCGCCCCCGAGGACGTGCCGGGGGACGGGGCGGGCGCGAGCCGCCAGAGGAAGCTGGAGGCGCTGATCCGGGACCCGCGCTCGCCCATCAACGTGGAGAGCTTGCTGGTAGGTGGCCCGGGCCCGGAGCCCTGCCCGCGATGGCTCGGACCCCCGTCCTCCCTCCGTCCACCGCTCAGTGCCCACCCATCCGTGGGGGAGATCTCGCCCCACCCTGCCCCGCTTCCGGCAGCCGGGCCGGGCCGGTGACCCTGCGCCGCGGCGACCACGTTCCGGGAGGGAAGCCCACCTGGGAGCCCTCCCCGGACCCCCGGAGCTGGTGTCAGACCCGCTGCCCCTTTCTGGGAGCGCGGGGAGGAAAACACCCCTTTTCTCCTTCCCTCCCACCCGCTCGGCGTGGGGAGGTGGGGCGGGGAGTCGCTACCCTGCACCCCCAGACCAGTCCGGGTGAGAGGGTGTCGCGCGGCGCGGGCCTTGGGTCCCGGGGGGCGGGGGAGAGAGCCGGCGCTGCCCCGGTGGGGGCGCCCACCTGCCCGGGGTGCACGACAAAGAGCTGCCCTCGCGCTCTCCACCGGGTCCGCAGCTCTGAGACGCGGAGCCAGAGTTTGCCTGTTCTCAGTTGCCTTGGAACATTCATAGTTGCGATTTCGTGCGTGTTAATGTCTGTAAATTAGGTTTCCCGTCAGCGGTTCTCAGCCTGTGGATCGCGACCCCTTTGGGGGGTCGAACGACCCTTTCACAGGGGTCGCCGAAGACCATCGGAAAACAATATGTAATCACATACTGTTTTTGTGGTTAATCACTATGCTTTCATTATGTTCCATTTGTAACAATGAAATTGGGGGTCACCACAACACGAGGAACTGTGTTAAAGGGTCGCGGCGTGAGGAAGGTTGAGAACCGCTGCCTGAGATGCTAGCGCCAGAGCCAGAGAGTCAGTCTGGATTCAGAGCGGAGCGAATCTTTTTCATTGTATCTCTCTCCTCCCGGGCCTGTGAAATCCAGATGGGCAGCCCCTGATGAAGACAGGACCGTGTTTTCACAGATGAGAAATGCACGGGAGAAAGTGTGCCCGGTCCTCATTTCTGTGAGGGTAGGCGGCGGTGCTGCGCGGACCCTGCATCAGCGTGCTCTCGAGAGGCGACCGTGGGGACCGGGGCGGGGGCTTTTCCCGGGGAGGATGCGCTGCCTGTTAAACGCGCTCTGGAGGTCCTGGGTCCGGGCGGTGAGCCTTAGGTTGTTTTTACACGGTCTCTCCCAGGACTCCTTCCTGCTCAGTCCTCCTCCGGCCGGGAGAAGCCCATGACTGCTGAGAAAGAAGGCGTCCCTCCCTTTCCAGGGACGGACTTTTCTTCAGAAGCAGTTGCTTGTTCTCTGAGGTTTCTGGACTCGTTTGCAGAGTGACTCAGTGCTGTTTGGCCAAAGTGCAGGAACGGACTGGAGGGCGCGCACCCAGCGTGCAGACTGTGGGATGTGCTACTGTCTGCTGTCAGGGCGGCCGACGTCTTCTTTCACTGGTTTTCACACGAGTGTGTTGGTGGTGTGTTTTCCTGGGGTCGTGACACCCCGGACAGCCTGTAGGCGTCTTCCGTTGGGGGAAGGATTGGCCAAAGCAGAGACTCTGGGCTTCACTCCCAGCATGTTCACTGTGGTATTTTGCTAGCAAAACTTTGACCTAAGGCCAGAAAGTTCAGTTAAAAATAGTACAGCAAATCTCAAGTATTCATCAGGTTCAATCCCAGAAAGAAATTTTTTCTGCTTCATTTTTGGGGTCTTTAACTGATGTTAATGATAATTATTAGGGTTATTTTGAGCTTGAACCTAAGCTATTTATACATATAATATACATTCTCTTTTATTAAAGTGTTTTCTAAATTATCAAAATTAAGGTTGTTTTAAATGAAACATTACACATGCTCAGGAAACAATTTGGTCCATTCATTTGATGAGCAGCGATCAATATGTACAGCCAACACACTTTTCACTTTGGTTAGGTGACATAGTACTGGTATGAGAGTTGACATCAGACTTTGTCATTGCTGTTTCTAGTTGTTTACAGGGCAGGGCAAAAGCAGGCTTACAGTTGTATGGGAAATAATACTATAATTAATAAATAATAATACAAGAGTAAGCTCTTTCGTGTACTCATAGTGTAAACCTGTTTTTGCCCCACCCTGTATAGTCTCCTCACATAGAGATAGCCATTGTTTAGGTTAACATTTTTGCTATAAATTTATGTCTAAAAAAATTAAAATGTAAGAAAAGTAAAATTACACTGTACACATGCCTTGTCACTTTTTTTAAATACTTAATGAATAGTAGAAGCTTTCATGTAGTCAAATTTATCAGTCTTCTCATCATAGAACAGTGATGGCGAACCTATGACACGCGTGTCAGAGGTGACACATGAACTCATTTTTTTGGTTGATTTTTCTTTGTGAAATGGCATTTAAATATATAAAATAAATATCAAAAATATAAGTCTTTGTTTTACTATGGTTGCAGATATCAAAAAATTTCTACATGTGACACGGCACCAGAGTTAAGTTAGGGTTTTTCAAAATGCTGACACGCCGAGCTCAAAAGGTTTGCCATCACTGTCATAGAGTGATTTCTGACTTAGATGTCATACTTAGGACATTCTCCATGACCGAGATTATGATATCATATACCTGAATTTTCTTTTAGTACTATAATGGTTTGTTTATTAATTAATTAATTTAATATGTGTTTATTGATTTTAGAGAGGGAGGATGGGAGGTACGTGCCCTTGACTGGGAATAGAACCTGTGACCTTTGGTTCACCGGAAACACTTTGGGACTAGGCTCCAATCAACACTGGCCAGGGCTGATGGAAAGTATGAAGCAGGGGTACAGAAATTTTATCAGAAGATTTGACTAAGTATTAGTATTAGAAACATCAATGGGAACCTCTGTTTATAACTGTGTTCTTGTCATAAAAATTTCTATTTGGAGAGTGGTGTTTGGGGGTTGGGGTGAGAAAGAGTAATGATTATGGGTTTGGTCTCCATTGGGGCCTCTTTGAGTTTCTTCAGGAAATACTACTCTACAGCTATATTTAAAATCCTATTCTGTGCTGACATTAAAAAACATGTATGAGCTGTTAGTGATAGGGTTACTGATGAAGAGAATGGAAGTGACTCAGAGCAATTTTAGTATAGCTTTTGGGAAAAAACAAAAAGTAACATTTCCCATTGGTAGGTTAGCTTATATGAAGCTTAATATTTAAATTGATGTGAAATCATGGTGACATTTGGGATTCTACTAAGTCTCTTCTTATTTATCCTTGATGGGAGTCATTCTCCTGTCCTTTCATCTGTACTCCCCGCTCCCCTCTTTAAAGTATGATTAACCTATAGAGATGTATTTGTGAATTCTGCAGTTGGTTGTCCTAAATGACCCTCACTTATTTTTGGGAAAGCATTGGGGTCACAATGGTTAGCATTTATCTTCACACACGTGTTTGTGTGACAAAATGGAAATATTAAGATTATTATTGGCTCATCATTGATAATCTTTTGGGGAATGTTTCTAAGTCCAAGAGTGTTACATGGTTTGTTGGTTCATTTTGGTAAGATGTGGGTTGTTCAGATATCAAAGGGCTTTACAATTGTTTCTTATAGTTAATTGATCACTTAGTATTCAATGTCTAATTTCCTTTATTATTTTAAAGAGATTATAGACTTGGAACTAATTTCTAACAATTCATTATTGGGGTTGTTTTTTTATGCCATAGAAATGAATAGCAGAGCCTCCTCCCAAATGCTTTATGTAGATGGAAACAGAAAGCAGGGTTGGTTTCATCTTAATGACCTGGGTGATTGTGATGAGCATTGCTTAATATTTTAAGTGTTGTTGTCTTATATACATACTTCTTGTTTTTCTTTTAGTTTATTCAATGGGTTGAACACAGGCTGAACACTTTTAGGAGATGTATCTTTTTTTGTCTTCCTATTGTTGTGTCCTGTAAATATTTGTTGAATGAAGTAACAATTCTTTTTTAAGTAACAGGAGTTACCTGTAGAAATATATCCCTGCTTGAAAAGATATTAATGTACTTCCCAAATAAACATTTTGATCTATGTTCACTTATTTCTTACCTATAGGAAGACAGATAAGTAAACATCTGTATATACAGAGAGGGTAGGTTTGAGTGGTGGAATTAATTGGAGGTCAAGCAGGAAAAACATTGTGATTTGGATATTTTCTGGATTGTGCTGAAACAGTTTGTCTTGGAAAGGATTTAAGCTAATTTTATTTAGTGTTTTAGGTGAAGTAAAAACACCTTGTGTGGTGGACTGTATAGCCTTTATTGTTTATGATGTGTCATCTGTTCCCTCTACCCCCTAACTTTTCTTTTGGTTAAACATATCCAGTTCCTTATATACTTAGGTGATGTCTGTGTTGAAACCATACTTCATGAGTAAGAGCAGATGAAATGCTGGTGGTGTAGTCACAGGATGAAATTCTTTAAAATGGCATATTGGCTGTTATTAATAATAAGGCAATATTTCAAAGTAAAACCAACCCCCAACGGACATGAGAGATTGTGATCAGAAGTCAAAAGTGTTATTATAAGTCAGTATGAATGAGCTGTTTTGAAAATGTATCAGATATTATCAAGCATTCAGATTGTTAGCAGTTTGTTTTGTTTTAATCCTCACCTGAGGATTTGTTTTATTGATTTTAGAGAGAAAGGAAGGAAGCGGGGGGGGGGGGGGGGGCGAGCAGGAGGGAAGGAGCGAGAGCGAGAGCGAAACATCAATGTGAGAGAAACATTGATGTAAGAGAAAAACATTGATTGGCCCGGGCACTAGCAGTTTTATTTAGCTTTAACATGCAGTGGTGGGCAAAGTAGGTTTTTATGGATCATTTGAGCAGTGAGAGAAATTTTAGGACATAATTCCTTTAAAATTTAAGATGCCTAAATGTATTTAAAAACAACTAGAAACATTTTTGGTTGCAGTGATATTTATTTTTCTAAAAGGAAAGTGCACTAGCACAGTTGTCATGAACTTTGAGGCCTGCAAGATCCAGTGGAATGTGTTTTTGTATGTGAAGGCTCTGCAGAAGTATTTAAAATATTA